TGGCTTTAATAGTTTCTGGTAAAAATAAAAAATTGTTCCAGTGAAAATATTCATCTACTTCAGCTGTCTTTACAAGCACACACACTGTGTGTGTGTGTATATATGTTTATTATATACATAATACAAATATCCTACACATAAGAATACATTTATTAAACCAAAGTCACTTTCATCTCACAATATAAAAAAAGAGAATAGTAAAGCTTTTAAAGTTTGTACATAAAGAAATTAGAGAACACTGTTACTGACTACAATTTTACTGTAATAGAGAACTTGACATGGAAGAGAATATTCAATAATTTCTTAATGTTTCCTTAGAACAAATGAGTAATGATTTTTTTCAGGATTAAGGTGAAACATAAACTCATGATAGCTATACTTCAATTATTGCTTAATTTATTGATATTTTCCAATACAAGACCCCTAATCCTTGTGAATCATCTCAATCTAGAAAGGGACAAATTTTTTCTAGTTCATATCTCCATTATTTTCTCTACATTCCCATGTCTATTTCACTTGATAAAAAAAACATTTAAAATGAAAGGCAAATATTTTAGACAAACTCAAAAGTTCCTGTTCTATAAATCTGTATGATTTTAATATATTTCTATAATCCATTGTAGAGATAGTAATTTAGAAATAAAAGAACTACTTCCTTACATACTAATGATCATATGCTTTGGAAAATCTTTTTTATAGGAAATATTAAGTCATTGCAGTTGCCAAAATAATGGGTTTTATGTTGCTATTTCTTATTTCCTATTAATAAATCTGCTTTAGAATCTTTGGTCAAAGTACATTATTTTTCTCCTCTATTTTTTTGATAACCTCATTCTAGTTCTTTCTCAATACCCCCAAACTTCATTTCAAATTCTACTCCTTTCTCCATACTTCACGTTACTGAATTTTATAAAATGTCTTAAGTCTCCTTTACAAAATAAAGTGTGGAGCAAAAGTACATTTAGTTATTCATATGGACATTAATACAATTAATAAATAATAATACAAGAATAAACTGTGTTTGCATACTCTCACAACTCTAAAACCTTTTGCCCCACCCTATATGCACTAGGGTCCTCTGCATTCATGAACTAATTTAATAGTACCTATGGGATAGACTTAAACATGAGTGAATTTAAACTTAGATTAAGTAAAATGTCTAAGGTCACAAAACTTAAGAATATGAACCCAAGTCTATGATTGGGAAATCTATTCTAGTAAAGTCTGTATTGCTTTACATTTAAATACCACTTAGGTTTTATATACCTCACATAGGTTATTTACAGTTTAATCTCACTTGAACTCACAGTAACCTTGACAGTAAAGTCCCCAAATATAAAAACCTTAACCCATACCCCCCAACTTTACTTAAGAGCATGTAACTAAAGTGGCAAAGCTGAATGACGATCCTCTTGTAGTCCAGTGCTAAACCACTTGTTGCCTATATAAGCCACTTTTTTCATTAAGTACAATTCACTCCTCTTCCTTTCACTATCATCCAAATATGTTGTGAAAATAAGGCGGTCAATACATTAATAAAGTCCATCTGAGATTTATATTTGTATCTATTGTATTGACCATGACTTGGATGGTTGTTATTACTAATTTCTATTTGAAAGCTTATACTTAGTTGACAACCTTAGAAGGAGCCATGATCTGGAAGACCTTTAGAGGTAGTATAAGTTTCTTGTCCAGTTGTCTTTAACACAATTCAATAAAGTTTACTGAGTAGCTATCAGGTACTTCAGTATCCTGGTGTTAAAGACAACAGTAGAAACACTGTCCTTGAAGTGCTAGGAGCTTTATAGTTTACTAAGGAACGGATTAGAAAACAGTAATTAAACACAATGCACTAGAAGTGAAAATAGAGGAATAGGAAATGTCTATTAGTGCACAGTCTATGGGCTTCTCTGCCCATAGGGAAAAAAAGCATTCTTGAGGGTGGTGATAATCTATAAAGGCAGTGAAATATAACACCTCAGAGTCAGCACACAGGAGGTATCAGGAACCCCAACACAAAAATCCTTGTGTGCCATTTAATACTGGATTACAGCACAATTCCCTAAAATATGTTAAGATTTCTACATGTAATACTCAAAACCTGATAAAGGTAGGCTAATAACTTCCAAGCTTCAAAGTACTTGTTCATTTGTGTAAGATTAAAGGTCTTTTTCATTTTTCAACTTTAATAGCAATTTAGTCACCAATTCCAGCTGTTAATCTTTCAGATTTCATTAGTGGTCTAAGTCATTGCCTTTACAAGTTCCCTAAAATTGGGGGAATTGTGAAGCAAAACTGCAGAGTCATTCAACCTCTTTCATGCTGACATTTACACCCTAGTACTCATTACTTTTTAGCTGGTTTTCTCTTTCCTATTTCCATCTCACCCAGACAGGACTGGTCTGAAGCTCTAGGACACTTACGGAATTTGTTTAATTTGGTGGAATGTCACTGCAGGAGGGGAAATCTTGTTAAATTGCTGTTATTCTAGAATTTAATTTTTTGTTCTCCTTGACAAAAATAAGACCAGTTTATTGTCGACAATTTGGAAAACCCAGAACAACTTAAATTAAGTCAGTCACATCTACCAAAGATGATTCCATCTTTCTTATTTTTTCTGCTTTTTAATGGATTCTTTAATTGTATTGGTTAGAAAACTAAAAGATTTAAACGTGAATATGATTCTTTAGCTTAAAAATTTACATTTCAAAATCAGAATTGTAATTTGTCAGGCCTTTCCATTTAAAAGAACCAAGGGACTTTCTGAGTTTGCAGTGTAAATAAAAGAATTTAAACCCCAAACTGAAAAACACTCTTCCCTAAAGCACATTGTTTGGGGTCAAAACACTGGTTATGTTGCAAATGAAATGGGAGTACACAGTGTTGGGCAAAAACCTAAACATAACGTCTGTATTTCCACAAATACAATTCATCAATATCTGAAGAGGTCACCTGGAGTTTTAAAAATGGGGAAAGCTAAAGAGGGTACAGGTGCTACTTAAAATGAATTTACCACTGGTCAAGGAATTGATTGGGAGTGCGATTTTAGGGGAAAATGGCCAAAAAAAAATGTCAAAGCATAAACCACGAAGTCAGCAATATCTCGACCTAATATTTCCTTTAAATTTACGGTGATTTACGTTTGGTTCAATTTTATTCCAGCCCAATTAATTTCTGAAAAATTAGTTCCCTGTCTGTGAAACTTAACCACTTTCCCATAAACTAGCCAGTTTCCTGCAGATCACGACACCATAACACCATCTTTCAACACCTCCCTTCCCTTTCAATTCCCTTCCCTTCCCTGTCGTATTCACACCTTCTGTTTCGAAGGCAGTAGATCTTTACTCTTTCAACGATCCCCTCCCTTACTGCACCACAAAATCAGAAAAAGGTGGAAGACCTGCTTTTACCCGTCTAGTCTTATCTAAAGTATGTGAACACCCGTAAAACGTCTCTTGCGAGGAATTCAGGGAAAAACTCCTAAGGAGAGAAAGCTCGTTGGGAAGCAGGCTTTACAGTGACTCCGCAGCGAGGGCCACATCATTGTCATTCCCTCCCAAGCCTGTCTCACTGGAGACACCTCTGCCTCCGGGGTTTTTCTTACTTCCCAGCTTCTCCGTACCAGGATGAAGGTAAAGACGGTGCAGGGCGTCTGACAAAGAATGGGCTTTGGGAATTGGAACCTAGAGGCCAGTGCAGACCCCCCAAGAATGGCTGAACCCATCCCGAAAAAAGAACCATGATGGCCGCACTCACCCCCAACCCTGAGAAAAGTGGATGTCTGGACCCCTACGTCGCCGGGGCGAAAACAGTGGGAGAGCGGGGGTCAGAAATGGAGAATTCAGCTTCTTGCCGGCACAGGATGACAGCGGGAAAGAAGCCGGGAACAGTGGAGGCGGCCGTTCTGTCTCCCTTCTCTTCCTCCTCCCACCCCTTCTCTAATCCCCACCTGCCGCCGGTTACAAGGCGCCGCTCACCTGACAGTGCGCGAGACGCAGAAACCGTGCAGACCAGGGACCCACAAGCTCCGTCACTGAAGATGGGAAGTCTTCTACTGCAGGGGCGGGTCTAGACAGTCACGTGGCCCTGAGCTCCGCCCCGTCAGGCGGAGGCAGTGCACTTTAAGGTCCTGTATTTTTGCGGATTGCTTGAACATTAATTTTGTTATGATTAAATTTTAAGAAAAAAAACTAAAAACTTTCACGAAGATTAGGTTGCAAAGTGCAATGTAGAAGGAGTGGGTGAACTGGTTAAAAAAATGCATTGCTAAGGAAGTGACGCTAACGCCATAATCTATAGACCGGAAATGGCCAAGGAGTTCCGTCCCTCCGGCACCCGACTGTAAAATCCCAATCTTAAATGTTTGAAGCAATTACATGATCTCAAAACTTGAAACGTGGTGGGCCGAAGCCAAGTTACACGGCCATTTGTTAATTACGTTTGTCTTAAAAAAACGACATTCACTTGTTTTCCACAGGCTTCTATAAAGAAGAACCTACTTTATAAGATCTCATTACGAGACAGGAGCATTTGAAGGTCATCAGGAGGACTACCAACCGGGAAGAACAGGGTCAGGGAAGACTGATTTCACTTGAGTGGGAAAGGTGAAGGAGGGGCGGAAAAATCCGGATTTTACCGCCAAGGCCTGCCGGGCAAGCCCCACAAGTAGTGTCGTAAGGAATGGGAGGAGGAAGATGACGCCACAGGGCACAGCCCAGTAGAAAGATGGAGGTCTTAAAGTGGAGGGGGGAAGGGTATGCCGAGGCCAGCAGTGAGGCTGCGCGGGAGGCGGCCTACGCGCCGGCGCGCAGAGGGGGCGGGGTGAAAGGTCACAACGCGGCGGCGGGTCTGGCTGGCGGCGGCCGCAGGCGGGAGCCGAGTACCCAGAGTGCACGTGTGGAGAAGCGGCAGCACCAGTCCCGCGACGGGAGACCGTCCCGCTCCCTCCAGAGACGCAGGGCCGCGCTCCAGTCTCGGGCCTTCGTCACCCGCTCAGCTCCCTGCCTTAGGCGTGGAGGTCGGCTAGTGGGGTTGAGTGGCCCGAGCTGAGGACACTGAGAGCTCAGGTCGGCGACGACAACGGCGTTGATAGCGGTGGTAACAACGGCCTCAGAAGGCGGGGAAGATGAAAGGGTGAGGAAGGGCAGCCGGGCAGGGCCGGGCGGGCGGGAGAGAAGGATTGCGAAGGAGGGGAGAGACTGGGCGAAGACCCGGCGGAGGGAGATTTCTGGGTTTCTCTGCTCACGGAGGGGGCGGAGGCTCGGCTCGGGCTGTTCGCGCGCTGAAGGGCCAACAGAGGCAAGACCCGGGCAACCCAGCTTCTTGGCCCAGAGGACGAGTGTGTGTTGACTGGAGAATAGCAACTGAGTGTGGCACGGGAAGAGCTCTTGTGAGATCCCTGCGGTCTTCAACCCAGAAATGGAGGGCTGAGACACCCCCCGCCCGCCACTTCGAGTGGGGTGGTCTGGTTGTCCTCTTCAAATCTAGATTCCATATTGGGAACCTTGGTGTTTGTCATCTTTCAGTTTTATTCACGGTTGAGAGTTATGCAGGACCTTCTGGAGGAAGGATTTGGAATAAAGAGGGAGACGAGTATTTAGAGCTAGTGACTCAACTGGATTTGGGTTGGGTCAGACCGAGTGGAGGAGGGGGAAAGAGAGCGGGAGCACGGTAGACTTGGGGTGCCAAAATGTTTAAGGAACTATTGTTGATCAGTAGGTGGAGCTGTTGCTCCAGTAGTTGAGTATCGCCCCTGTACTGTGGGGGTCCTTCGTTAACTCTGACACTTTCTTCAGGTGATTGGCAGAGTTAGTATTCTCCTATAGTTTTCCTCTTTGATACAATTAAGGATTATTTTGGTTCGACTATTTTCATTTGGGTAAGATTTCACCTACTATTAAATTACATACTGTTAAAGTGTTAATTACATAATACGGTGTTTTAAAATATTGCCTAAATAGGCCGTTTGAGGGCTTGCGTTTACTCTCCTTAGAGGAAGAAATGAAATCTTTAACAATGTTAAAAGCTTTTCTGTGATTCCTGAGTTTTCTGTTATAGCAAGTGAAAGAATTGTAAATGTTTTGAGTTAGTGGAGCCTTCCGAACTTTTCAGCAACCCTTCTGAGGATGAAATAAAAGTATTGTAAGTAATCTGCCTAAAACAAGGGTCTAAATGTTATCTCGGCGTGTTTATGTATTTGAAATTGCAGAAGACTACAGGAGTTTAATTTGGTCTTAGTTCTGTAACGTGATTCTTTATTCCGGTTTTGCTTTAAATATTGGAAATTCATTCTAATGTCGAGTCGTATCTCTTGTAATTAAAGTTTCGAAGTCACGAAGAAATTTTCATATTTCACATCAGGTTTTAAAGCATTCCAATCAGGACACCAGTTGAGGGGTATGAGAAGTATTTGCTGCACTTGAATTATGTAGGAAGTTTGGTTCTTTTAGGTATGATCCGATGTATTTTGGTGAGATTTTTCTTTTTTCTTGAGTTTGGGTGCTGTTTTCTACTAATTTTTGTATATTTTTGGGCATTCAATGCTTATTTGTCTTGTTCTGTTGAAGTATTAAAATAAAAATGAGGCTGAGGAAGAGTTCCCAGTGTTGAGACTGTGCATGGATTTGTAAAGGAGGGCCTCCAAGAAATTATTCTATATGTTTGGATCCAAAATTTTTGGTCTACCTAAGTCACACTAAAGTGTATTGTTTTGATACCTAACTTAGTAGTAGAAATAGGTCAAACAGAGGTATTGATCACAGTCTACCTTCAGTTAATATACGAGTGAGACAATTATCTTTTATTTTAAATGATTATTTGTGGGTAACAACCTGATGGAATGAAATTTAGAGGAAATTTTTAGTTATTGAATCTGTATCTTATTCTATCAAGTGTGCCTGAAATGAAATTAAGTCTAGTTATTGTGTTTTTAATGATAAACTTTTAAGGTGATTTCATAGGAATAGTCTCTTTAACTTTGTAGATGAACTAACTCCCTGGTAGGGTGGGACTTAATTTTTTTTTTTTTTTTTACTTCTGAATCTTGTATTTAAGCCACTGAACAAATGAAGACAATAGACGTTATTTAAAATATTATAAGGTCCTCAAGTTCAAAGACTTCTATCAACATGCACAATGGTTAGTGTTGAAAGGCCTGTGAAATGAAATAGTGGTCCTGATTATGTGGTTTTTGTATGAAATTTTATTTGCTTGTTTCATTGTATATGGAAGCTAGTTGAATTAAGTTGAATAGAAATACATAAAATTGGAAATGATTTACAATTTTAAGTCATTTTGTTTAAATATTTTACATCACTGCCTATATTGCCTGTCATTTTGAAAATTTTAGTTATTATTTTACCTGTTTTTCTTCCTATTTTACTTAGTTTTTATTAGTAGTAGAAGTAGGGCATTCCATTATGCTGACATGTAATTGTCTTTTCTCCATAGTGCATAAATGTGCAGTTAATTACTGCATGTATTTATATATATGATCTAGAAATCTGAGGTATGTTAGGATATGTTACTTTTGTACTGAGGTTGCTTGTTGTTATAAACCAGGAATTTTATAGGTTGAATTTATGTTGGTAAGCTGATTTTTAAAAAATCTGTTCCTCTTAAGGAAGGTGAAATTTAAGCATGAGGGGGTGCCACACACAGACATGACTGAGATGGCAATGTAATTGGTCCATGTAATAGAAAGTAAGCCCTGGCTGGTGTAGCTCAGTGGATTGAGTGTGGGCTGGGAACCAAAGCATCGCAGGTTCGATTCTCAGTCAGAGCACATCCCTGGGTTGCAGGCCACGTCCCCAGTGGGGGCCACTTGAGAGACAGCCACACATTGATGTTTCTCTCTCTCTCCCTCCCTTCCCCTCTCTAAAAATAAATAAATAAAACCTTTAAAAAAAAAGTAAAACTGAATCTGTTTACACTTTATTTGTAGTAAAGAGGTGCAATAAAACCTAGTTTTAATAAAAATGTCTAATAAGATATGAATACATGTGCACAAAGTAAAGAAGGAAGTAGCCCTGACTGGTGTGGTTCAGTTGGTTGGGCATCATGCCGCAAAGTGAAGGTCACTTGGTTTGATTCCTGGTCAGGGCACATGCCTGGGTTGTGAGTTCAGTTTAAAAGATATACCTCAATTATTTAAATAGTTGTCCTTTTTTGTTTTCTTTGGCCGGGGGGGGGGGGCAGTCTGCAGAAATCATTAGAATACCAGTAGTGACAAATAGAAACTACCTTTCTATTACAGCAATGAGAATTTTATGGGTTACAGTTTAATAACTACAAACTTATATAATTACTGTTACCAGGAAACACTGCTTGCTCTTGACTGGTTCACTTCTATCATCTATTTGTATTTATTCAGTGCCTAACTTAGTGGCAAAACGTTAGTCCTTTCCTGTTTAATACAGTAGTGCCTAGTTATAATTGAGCAGTTGAAATGTGGCTTGTGTTACTGAAAAACTGGATTTTAAATTTTAATTTAAAAAACTGATACTCAAAGTTGGTTGTTGGACAATTATGTTTGGAACAACTTGGATATGTGGATCTGTAAATTTTATGAAGTGTAAATATAGATTAGATATTTCTGATGAAAATAATGTGTGAATTGAGATGTGTTAGAAACGTTATCTACTGGATTTTAAGACTTGATATGAAAAAAAGATTTCAGAAAAAGTAAAATAGTCATTAATAATTGTTATTTTTATTATATGTAGAAATGGTTTCACTTGCACCTTTTTGGCCATTTAATGTACACACTAGTAATTTGTAAATTACTTATGTGGCTCAAATTAGATTTCTATTAGACAGTGGTGTGCTAGACCCTGAAAAATTCAATTTGTATGAAACATGACTTCTTGCCTTAGGATGTAGTCCCAGGTGGTAAATGTTTCTAAATGTTTTAACTGTGGGCCAGAGTTTTTAGATTAAAAATATTGTAATCCAATCACTTGGTCTGCAGTAGATAGGGAAGGAAAATTGGAAGTATGTATTTGCCTTTCTTGATCTAGTGCAACCTGTATTCTGTCTCTGTCATTGCTGAAGCCGTTGGGGGCAGGGGAGGTTGTGAGAGTGGGAAGGAGGAAATAACCCCGTTTTCAAGAGGAAAGGTTTCTCAGCTCTTAGTCCTCGATAGTGTTGAAGTGAATTTTATTTATAAAATTACTTGACATGCATCCTTAATTATTCATTTTGGATAATTCCCTGGAAGTGAAATTTTTGGATTAGGAGGTATGGGCATTTTAAAATTTCTGACTTTTTTGCCAAGTTAACTGCAGAAAGGTAGTAGCAATGCATACTGCCAGCAGTGTATGATGATACCCTTCTGTAAGAACTGATGGAGAAGTTGAGGAGCACTCGAAAAAACCTTAAGGAAATGGAGGAAGACACTGTGGCTGCCATTTCAGCCATGGGTGGTATAAAATACCCTTATCTGGGATGAGTGGTCTACATTGAGCATTTGTAAAATGATAGAAGTAACTATCATTTTATCTTCACCAGTTGGTTTTGAGGACACATTCACATAAAGCCTTAATGCTAGTTTGATTTGCTGATTAGGTGATAAAATTATCTTTCTTTACCTTTCCTTTTTTTGTAATTCAGTTGGATATTTCCACTTCCCCTGGCCATTTTTTTACCTTTGTGACTTAACAGTTTTTAACTTAGATATTGATTGCTTTTTTTACTTCAAATTACAAAACAGTCAGATAATGTTCTTTAGAAAATGGGTTGAGACATTCAAATTGGTAAATATTGTCAGAGTGATGCTAGTTTAGGGCCCAGACCATTAGAAAGGAGATTCTTTGCAGGCAGACCTTGTTAAACTGTGGCAAGCAAGGGAAATATTTCATGCTTAGGAGCATTTTAAACATTTCTTATTTCTCTTTCCAGAAAACTAAGGTATATTTAAAGATATATTTGGATTTTCCTCTCTGGTCTGTATGGTTTATTACGTGTGTTATAATTTATCTTCATAAAGGAGACTTACTGTGATGCAAAAAGCATTGAACTGAAAGCAACCACGGTTTATTGTTCATTGTGGCACTGATCACTAATCATAGTTAGTGACATTAGTCCCTTATTGACCTGAGCCTAGGTTTCTTTGACTTTTAAAGAGAATAGCTTGA